TATAGATGGGAAGTAAAAAAAAAAAAAAAGTCAATTTTTTTTCAAATTCAACACTTATTTAATACATTTTTACTTGGTTACTTATGAGAAAAAATAAAAAGTTCATAGACTAGACAAGTTCTCCTAATTGAAGAGTCATTCTTCTGCATCTTGTTCAGACTGCTGTCAGTATCTGTTTTTAATGGACAAATGGTTCAATGCAATCACATCTTTGACGAGTGTGTTTACAGAGCTCACTGATGGATGTTGAGAGGTGTACATGATGCTCAGCTAATTACAGGGGTTTCTGCGTAGATTCTAGACAAAGTGCTGTGTCAGTAAGTCCAGACTCTGGTTAAACGGTTGTAAAGTGCTGGGATGCTAGACAACATTCGGGTGCTTGTAGACTGTCTGATCCACAAGCAAACAAACCTTCCAGGCTGCTTAATTACAGCCAGGTGTTCAGTCTAAACGAAGCAACTGTAACATTCTGGACTTGCTGTAAATGATGCCAAGCTAAGTCTGTATATACATGTCATAAAGTGAAACCATTGGAGGTCTACAATATCCGGAGAAAGCTATTTGATAGCATTTCCAATTATCTAAATGCCAGTCGCTCAGTATGTGACTTGAAATCTTTGCTCATGGTGCTTCATAGGCACTCGATTCTGCTGCTGGATTGGTTTGTGCCAAAAGAATTGAACTGGATTTCTTTTGACTATGAGTTGACTTTAATATGTGTATAGAAAGGGGCGTTCTGGAATGACGTTTACCTGGTAAAAAGGGAATGATTCTGCGTTTTGGATCCTTCTGTCCACCTTCCACAGGGAATTTATCCAGAAGCTCCATCTGGAGAACAATAACATTGAAAAGTTTAACATCGGTGTGTAATAGCAACTCATTTTAGTTTTGCAGTGTAACATTTCTGAGTAGAACTGGATGTAGAGCAGGACTCAAATAATTGACTGGACAGTGAAAAAGCAAAACTAAATGTGATTTTGCAGTAAAGCACCAGCGGTTGCTGAGTTCAACAAATTCAACAAATGCTCGTCCCCCTCCTTCCTGATCTGTATGCGTGGCCTGCTCTACATAGACTAGTGGAACAAGTGGAACATTTTCCCTCCGTTTATACTCCGGTCCTGAATGCCCCATAACGTTCACTCGCAGCTATACGTTATTTTCATTTGCTGGCACCACTTAACATTTTCCTCCCATCTGTAGCGTTTTGGTTACAGCCAGGCCCTTATTTCAGTCCAAAAGCAGCTGTGGACCAATGAAATCACACCTGTGCCTTTCCAAGGTGTAGCGTTGAAGTAGATCATATGTGCATTTTACACATTCATGCACTGATGACTATAGCAGAGCTCGAAATTCATCAGCTAAGTGACGTTTTCCAGCAAAGCAGTTCTGTACAGTCAGGTCCGGAAGTATTTGGACACTGTCTTGAGTTGTTGTGCTTTTGCCTTTATACACCACTACAATGGATTTGAAATAAAACAGTCAAGATGTGATTGAAGTCCAGACTTTTAGCTTTATTTTAAGAGGTTTCATAAAAATATGACATTTACCATTTAGGAGTTACAGCCATTTTAAGCAAAGTACCTCCATTTTTTTAGGGGCTCAATAGTATTTGGAATTTATAATTGTAAATATAAGCACAGTTTTAATACTTGGATGACAATCCTTTGCAGTCAATGACTGCCTGTAGTCTGGAGCCCATGGACATCATTCAAATTCTGAGCTTCCTCCCTGGAGATGCTTTGCCAGGTCTTCACTGCAACCACCTTGAGTTGCTGCTTGTTTGTGGGTCTTTCTGCCTTCAGTCTTGTCTTCAGTAACTGAAAAGCATGCTCTACTGGATTGAGGTCAGGCGACTGACTTGGCCATTGAAGAATATTCCATTTCTTTGCCACCAAAAAGTCTTGAGTAGAGATCGACCGATATATCGATTTACCGATAATTTTCCTGATATTTAAGCATTTTACCATAATCAGATATCGGTTTTGTAATATCGGGAGGATCGCCATTGCAGCCATTGAGGACTTGCTGTAAATGATCGCCACTGAGGGGAGATGAGACAACAATAACGGCATGCACAGGTAAAGCATACTTACTTGGCTTTGTAGTGGTGTATAAAGGCAAAAGCACAAAAACTCAGTCAGTGTCCGAATACTTCCGGACCTGACTGTAGCTCTAAAGGCACACGTTTACCCATAATGCAATACTAACATAGAGCTAACTAGTGAAGGAATAGGTGTCATTTTCAACCCAAGCTCACTGTGGTGACATTTCTGCAAAAATTTTCAGAAAGTTTTGAAACTCCTTTGAACAGTAATTCTGTAATTCAAATAGATTAACGTGATTCTGGCAACATTTTATTATGTTGGTTCTAATACTTAACACAATGAAATCAGCGGCGTTAAAAGTAGAGATGCACCGATTGCAATTTTCTTGGCCGATTCCAATTTCCGACTTTTTGTTAATGTGATCTGCCGATACTGATTTTTGCCGATTCCGATTTTTTTTTCTTCTAAGAACTATAATTGACAGCATATACAAACAAAAATCTACTTTTCTTCAATGCAAAGTTTTATTTTCATAAAAAAGCACAAGGAAAAAAATCAGCAATTTTTTTTTATTTGTCCTTATTTTATTACTAACAACAGCACAAATAAATGCTATAGAATAAAGAGAGCTATGAGACTTTGAAGTTTTTCAGGTTAAGTAAGTTTTTATTCAGGTAAGAAATACTACAGAAATTAAAGTAATCCAATGTCAATTTTTATCAAATTTAATTTCTGTAGTCTTCATTGTAAAAATTAAATACAAATTAATGCTTACCATTAAAGTTATAAAATGTATTCAGTCAAGAGCATAAAGTAATTTTCTTTGTCTTTTGTTCTTTGATTAACATGACAGACAGCAGCATAAATATTGGACTGCGGTCCCTTTAAGAGTTTATCCACGGACCCAATACACAACATGCGTTCTCTTTCTCAACTATTTAACGTTCCAAAACTGACTGTGTTTAACTGGATACTCGCCAAGACGGGCATTTTGACATAATTTTGTATGTATTTGACCGTTTTAGCGCAGTTAGCCACTCATTTTGGTATTTCTGGCTCACAAGCTGTTTGAGATTGAGCATGGCTTGTGCGCTCCACTAATATAGATCAGTAGTGGTGCACGCGCTTTTGGTGTAAGCGCAAAACCTGCGGGAATGACTGAAATAATGCGCAATACAAGCACTATTTAACCGGATCGAATGAGACGTGTGTGTGAGAGAGAAGGGGTCGTCGGAGAGAAGAGAGCGAGAATGCGAGGCTGACGTTATCGCCTTTGCTGCTGGTAACAAAACTGATCGGCTCGAAATCGGAAAGGAGTGAGACTGACCGACCAATCACCGATCCGGGCCGATCATGAGGAAAATCGGCCGATTCCAATCCCTGGCCGATCGATCGGTGCATCTCTAGTTAAAAGGTTCTTTTGCATTTGAAAATGTTCCACCTACACTAAACTTGACCCTAAATCTAAACAATACTGTTAACAAAAGCAAATGTGAGATAAATACACACTTGCTAAAGCAACCATGCCATTTCAGCTAGTCTTTGACCACTCTGCAATACAAGTTCAATGCTGCACCGGGTGCGCTACAGAGCACATTTACTATATCAGAAAAGCCATAAATATGGAGCTGGTTATATGATGCAAATATCAAAATATATTAGTTTACAAAACATATACTACAGTAAAAGTGTTTTGGGGTCATATTGTGAATCACACAAACATAAGTGTTTATTAATTGATAATCTGCCCCAGTAATCAAAATTCCTCTGAAAAGGAACAAAAGTTGTTAGTATTTTACGACCTCTAGTATTAATTTCAGCCATAAACTGCAGTGAATTGTATGTATAGGTATGTTTTTGGAGTTTTGCAAAAATGTAGGTTTTTCTAACGAGTCTAGGTTGGTCATTTTAGGACATATAATTACGTTGTGTAATTAATTTTGCTCATAATTGTAATGTTGACTTAATGAGTCGCAAAAAGGTTGAGGGGAACTGCATGATGTCATGTGTCTGATCTGGAAGTGCAATTAAATAAATGACATCTGTATTGTCGAATAAAACAAATAAAAGCAACAGATATAATGAAAAAGCTTACTGTAAACGCCAAAGGAATGCACACATTTAAACGCTGAACCTTAATGGTGCCTTAGTTCTCACTCATGTCTGTTTCGAGACAATGATGAAGCAAAGGGATACGTCATTCTGCCAGACAAAGCTTTTACTGTTGTCAGCTCATTTATTAAGCTGAAGAACAACGTCTTCTACTGTGACTCAGCACCATCAGAATGACAGCACACAGATACAACACTTGATTATTTTCCGCACAATAAATGAGCTGCATGGGTCCATAACGAAGACTTTTCTGAGATTTAATTTTTTTTTTGCTCCATATAACCGTATCCACATTTTTCAAATAAAACTTGACAGCTTCATAATGCAGGACTTCACAGTCCAGCGTTCTCCAGTACAATGCATGTGGGCAGACTGCAGTGGACCAGTGAGCTACATAAATAGCCTCCATTGTAATGGCACTATTTTACATATTATAATTACACAAACAGTATGCACACTACCAGTCAAAATTTGGACACACCTACTCATACTTCATTACAGTTTTCCACATTTTAGAATAACTGCAAGGCCATCAAAACAAAAGGAAGTACAGAATTGTGTAACGGTCCACAGATTTAAATATATATAATAATATAATATAGCCAGTTACTTTAGGTGTGTCCCAAATCGTGTACTTATGCACTAGTCTATGACGTTTTGTAGTAGGAACAAAAGTTGTTAGTATTTTACGACCTCTAGTATTAATTTCAGCCATAAACTGCAGTGAATTGTATGTATAGGTATGTTTTTGGAGTTTTGCAAAAATGTAGGTTTTTCTAACGAGTCTAGGTTGGTCATTTTAGGACATATAATTACGTTGTGTAATTAATTTTGCTCATAATTGTAATGTTGACTTAATGAGTCGCAAAAAGGTTGAGGGGAACTGCATGATGTCATGTGTCTGATCTGGAAGTGCAATTAAATAAATGACATCTGTATTGTCGAATAAAACAAATAAAAGCAACAGATATAATGAAAAAGCTTACTGTAAACGCCAAAGGAATGCACACATTTAAACGCTGAACCTTAATGGTGCCTTAGTTCTCACTCATGTCTGTTTCGAGACAATGATGAAGCAAAGGGATACGTCATTCTGCCAGACAAAGCTTTTACTGTTGTCAGCTCATTTATTAAGCTGAAGAACAACGTCTTCTACTGTGACTCAGCACCATCAGAATGACAGCACACAGATACAACACTTGATTATTTTCCGCACAATAAATGAGCTGCATGGGTCCATAACGAAGACTTTTCTGAGATTTAATTTTTTTTTTGCTCCATATAACCGTATCCACATTTTTCAAATAAAACTTGACAGCTTCATAATGCAGGACTTCACAGTCCAGCGTTCTCCAGTACAATGCATGTGGGCAGACTGCAGTGGACCAGTGAGCTACATAAATAGCCTCCATTGTAATGGCACTATTTTACATATTATAATTACACAAACAGTATGCACACTACCAGTCAAAATTTGGACACACCTACTCATACTTCATTACAGTTTTCCACATTTTAGAATAACTGCAAGGCCATCAAAACAAAAGGAAGTACAGAATTGTGTAACGGTCCACAGATTTAAATATATATAATAATATAATATAGCCAGTTACTTTAGGTGTGTCCCAAATCGTGTACTTATGCACTAGTCTATGACGTTTTGTAGTATAA